TTTGTTTTCTTGAAATCAGCAGTTTTATTACTTATTTTTTTAAATCATTCCCCAGTTTTTGGGTGTTATATTCTGGAGTTGTGTTTCCCCACTCGTACCTACTTTTTTTTTTTCCTCTTTGAATTTTAGTTTGGAAAGTGCTTATTTACTTATCTCCAAGCTCACTGAATTATTTCTTGAGCTGTGTCAAGTCTACTGATGATCCCATCAAAATCATTCTTCCTTTCTGTTACTGTTTTTATTTTTTTATTTATAGCATTTTCTTTTTATTCTTTCTTAGAATTTCCATCTCTTTGCTGACATTACCCATCTTTTTTTTCATGTTGTCTATCTTTTATACTAACATATTAACTTTTTCCACTCTTAACATATTATTTATAGTTCCTTTAAAATTCCTGCCTGGTAATTTCAACATCTGTGTCATTTCTGAGTTTGGTTCTGATGTTTGCTTTGTCTCTTCAGATTGAGTTATATTGTTTTATATATCATCTTTAATATCATACCTTTAATATATTTACTTACTTAATTCCCCTGTAAGCAACCAAGCTCCCATCTATACTAATACACTTCCCCTGTATATATGTCATTCTTGCTTTACTCTGTCTCCCCATGCTGGGCTACCCACTACAAGGATGTTCTCTCATCTTGTGTGGACTCTTACACTCCACTCCAGGCCATCCTTCCACATAGACAACCTCCTTACTCCACTGCAGTTCTGACTATCCATGTCAGGCTAAGTAGTTGGCTAAGTAATGGCCTCCCACAAGACGTCCACATACTAATTACCAGAATCTGCAAATGATAATGTCTATGGTAAAAGAGACTTTTCAGATATGGTTAAGTTTACAGTCTTGAGATGGAGACATTAACCTGATTGATTCCAGTGGTCCCAAAGTAAACACAAGGGTCCTTATCAGAGAGAAGCAGAAATGTCAGAATAAAACAGAGATTGGAAGATGCTGTGCCACTGCAGGAGGAAGAGGAAGCCACTAGCTGAGGAATGCAGGCTTCCTCCAGAAGATGAAAAAGGCAAAGAAACAGACTCTCCTCTAACGTCGCCAGAAGGAATGCAGCCCTGCGGGTGCTTTGATTTTACCCACTGGGACTAATTTTGGTCTTCTCGCTTCCAAAACTCTAAGATAACAAATGTGTTGTTTTAAGCAACTAACTTTGTGACCATTTATTATGGAAGCATTAGAGAACTAATATATTCCCTCATTCCTTCTTGGGCAATCTCTTCATGCTGCTCAGACTCTGACACTTTCCACAAAAGATTTCCCCCCTCATATATACTCTTCTAAACTTGCTTAGATTATGACTCCTATGGGCAACTATGAGTGCCTACTTTATACTGATGTGACAAGTTGCTTTGATTATATTGTTCAGGATGGGAAGGGGTGGAAAAATTGAAGAGAAAAAAAAGAGAAAAATTCATTGTTATTGCTCAAGTTCACTAGCCCAATTGCCAAAATCACCCTGCCATAAGGGTGTATCAGATATTTCTTAGTGTCACCAAAGGTGGGACATTATACAAGAAGATCCCTTCACTGCTTGCCCTGGCTGCTGCCCCTGTTTCCATGGACCTAAGGAGATAACTGTCCTTACTATTAAGAGGAAATTTGTTATCCTCTGGGTCCCTTAGTCTAAAGCAGCCATCACTTCCCTAAGCCCCACAACTCTTTGAAAATTAGGTGTGTACATAATGGATGGGATATACAATATAAATAATTTATAACTACTGCACGAGCCAACTCAAGTTCTCCTAAATATTCTCCTTGTCTCATTCCAAGTTTCCATCACATTGCCCACTATAGTCAATAGCTTTCCATGTCTCAAAGCCTATACCAAACACCAGCCTCAGAGAGTGTGATGCTTTATGTAGCTATTGAACAAAGCCTGGGACTTCATTTTCCATTTCAAGATTAATGACTTCTTAGAACAAATGGCAGGAGGAATTTTCAATCCCTTCACAAAGGTATGGTCTGACTCTGTTTCAGAAAACATTATGTTACAGTAGCCCTCTATCTGTAGATATCTTAAAATCTGCCTTAATCAGTCTTCAATTCTAACAAGAGTGGAGACACCAATCATAGCTCAAATCAGTTGCAGCTGTGCCAAGATCAGCTCACTTTCTTTTCAATCCTGCCTGATCAAAGATTCAATACTTTTGGAATAAAGTCTTACCCGCTGTTACTTACCTACCCAATAATCAAAACAATGACCACTGATCATTGTTAAGAACTAAACTTACCATTTAACATAAATACTTCACACAACCCTACTGTTGTGGAAGGATTAAGGGAAATAGTTGAGAAGGAATCCCCAGACTCCTAACCCTCTCTGTTCTCACAATCTTGACACCACGATACATCCCAAACCAGCAGAACTAATCTCTTTACAGCCATTATTTTTATGTCAGCGATCATAAGGAGTTCCAGATTCGCAACATGTTCCTATGAACATTCCCTTTTATGACCTTCTCTTTTAACCCTACTCACTGGGTCTTCTGGAATTCACCATCCAGTACTAACCAAATCCATCACACTTCAACTTTCTCATACTCAAAAGATAAACTAATTCTCCCCTAAGGTCTGCTTTCTCTACTTCCCCTTCAAATGGTGGCTAGTTTTCTCTATTTCATCTTTTGAACCTGGAGGTGACACAAATAGTCTTTTATCCAAACACTTCTTCAGCAACCTTGAAATACTCTCTCCTCCTTCACCAGCTTAGAGTTCATCACCAATTCACTAACTGTTATGAGTACACCTTTAAATCTCCACATGATTTCTTGTCTTCTCTCCCTCTGTCCTACTTGCTTGGACAAATTAAAGTCTGCTAAACACAACTCTCTCCCTATCTCTATAGTCTTACATAGATAGAGACAAGCACTCATGACACCAACTGGTGTCTCTTAACTTCATGACTGCCTTTAATGCTGCCTGGCAATACACATCCTGCTCCTCTGATCTGTCCATTCTTCTGCTTTTTTCCAAACCTCCATCACTTCCTTCTTGAACCTCTCTCTCAACTTCCTATTTCACTGAGAAAATTTTAAACAACCAGTAAAAAAAAAAATTACCACCACATTTACCCACCAACCAACGTCAGAATTCATATAATCCACCTTCCAACCTACTAACAATGATGAACTTTCTGTGTGCTACAATATTATGGGGAATGCACAATTATTCTTTTTTTATCAGATGAGAAAACTAGAGCTTAGAGAATATAAGTAATTCATTAAAAGTCACATTTTTATCAATGTAAGTGGATTCTTTGGGGTGCCATGGAGAAAAAAAAAAATTCCTGAAGCCTCCACTGGATAATGGCTTTTCATGGAAAGCTTTATTGATGTTGTAAAATTAAGGGGGTTCTCTTCCAAAGACTCATCTATATCCATCCTGCCATGGACAAGTCCAAGCTTGTCTTCAGCAGGCTCAAGGCAAAAGACCATGTCCAGAGTTTCTGTTCCATATTAAGGCACACTCCAGTTCAGCACCTGATTAGCTTATCTGATTCCCAGCTGCAGCCCATTGCATGCTTAAGGCCACATGGCAATGGAGAGAGAACGCACCAGCATCCAGGTGAGTGAACAAGAGAGTGAAGGGAACAAGGGGCACAGCAAGGGAACTTTTTGGGGATTATAACCTTCTAAGATTTCATGTTCTGGCAGTGCTCCACCCCTTAGCTAATTACCTTTTTCCCAGGTTGTACTGGCAGGCAAGTACCTTCCCTACACCATCCCAACTTCACTGTGCATGTGCCCATCTCCCTCTTTGTTCAATCCCTTCCCCCAGTGATCTGCAGGGAATGGACTAGTGGGTCCCTGGAGAGTGTTAAGTTGGATCTTCCTGGTGAAGCTGCCCAGATGACCATGCTTATAAACTCTGGCTTCCCCTTTGCTCTCTTCCTATTACTAATATTAACCAGCTAATGATAGTAACAACATTACTTGGTAATGGAAGAACCAAGATTATAATCCAGGCCTCTCTCCCTAAAGCTCACAATCACTATTCATACCCAGGGATGTTTGTCCAAGGTGGACAGAGGCGATGGGGGAGGTGGGTACCAAGATGAAGGATATAATGGGAAGTTGAGGGAGAAAGTACAAATAAATCTTTGTGTGCCAAGCTAAACAATGTGGACTACTTTCTAAAGCAGCTGCTCTGAGATAAATGGTGACATAGTTAAATCTATATTTTGGAAAGATAACTTAAACAACTGCCAAATGGAGCAGTGGAAGCAAACAAATTGCCAATAGAAACACCATATTTAATGGAGCTTAATCCAATTGTAAGATTTCCACAGCTTAAAATGACTTTCCTCCTACTAATTCATTAGTACATAGTGCATTTACCAAAGACCTCCTTAGAAAATGTCTGACACAACATAAATAGTTACAAAATTATGCTTTATTCATATATATTAAATATTGATAAATGAAAAAATAAAATATCTTGCATTTGAAAAAAGTCACAATTATCAGTGATATTCAAAAGCACCAAGCATGACATGAGATAAGATACTATGTTTTTTATCAGGGGACAAGTCATATGACCTACACATCCAAGTGTTGTGTGACATGCCATTAAAGCAGTGGCTCAGAATGCAGATATGATTTCAAGTAGACAGTAACTGTATGACATCATTTCATTTATAAGTGTTCATTATATCAGCAAGTGAAATAAATGCACAACCCAAACCCACAGGGTCTGGCTTCAGTTCGCTGCCTACTTGGTCCCTGAGATAAAGCCTTATAAATCACATAGTTTTGCCTCATCAGAAAAGAAGGGTCAAGTGAAATAGTCATAGATTACAGAAATTATAAATAATACATATATTAATAGATATTCATTTTCATTAGATAAAAATTGCTATTATAAATAATTTGATCCTGAGTTTAAAATAGATTCCCCATATAAATAATGTAAAATATTAAATATTAATAAATAAATTTAGATTTAAAAATTCAAATATTGCAGGCAGAATGACCATTATTTCTATGCTTTCCAGCCACGAAACAGATTCTGACGCCTTTTCCGCATCTTTGTGTTAGATTTTGACAGCTCAGTGATCACATTGAAGAGTTCACTTATGGCTTTGCGCTGGACCTTCTGATCATTTACCTATTGAAAATGATACAACAATATTAATTTCAGGCATACAAGCTATCAGAATATTCTACTGTTGATGGTATAGCTCGTGAAAATGAAAGTATTCCTTTAAAAAGATGATTTTTACTGATAATATATTATCTTAATATATAACAGTGATTTTTTTCAGTAGTAAATATAATAATTAAATTGCTAGTTATGCTGTAATAGGGTGGGACACACATTTTAACCTTAAGTTTACTGCTCCAAAATTCTCAAAATTATATAGTGAAAAACCCCTGAAGTGGAATGACAGACATTTTGGTTTGAATTCTTTTTGAGCAATCATTTAGAACCAGTCACTTAACCTCTCTCAACCCATGTTTTAGATAACTCTTATGTTCTCTACAAATTCTACAACCTTATACTTTAGTCTTTGCTGTATCAAATAAGTTACAGTAGGTTAGTGGTTCTCCCCTTTGGTGTCTAGCAGAATAATCTGGAGGCCTAATGAAGAACTCCGAGGTCCTGGTGCAGGAAGAGGGCCAAGGCCATTGTTTGGTCACTAAGCTCTGCAGGCGATGCTGGTACCCACCAAAGTTTGAGAATCACTGAAGTAGGTCTAGTATTTTTTTAAATAGCAAGTCCACGACAAATGAACATTGTAATTTTTAATTTCCTCCAAATTATGTCAGTTTCATCATTTCCATAAAGGGATTAAAAATAAATCATGTTTATATGGTAATAAGCAAATACTGCTATATAAACATTTAAAATTGGAATTCCCTGTATTCCAGCAAATTTCCCTGTATTCTGCCTTCTATTCCAGCACATTGAACTATTTCCTCAGATAAGCCAATAGCAACATTTAGGTAAATTCAAGTTTAATAAAATAAGGACCATTTACTTTCACCTTGGCTCTGCCACTGTGTTTTTTTTCTAATGCTGAAAACTCTGTGGCCACCTTGTCACATTCCTGAGAATTCTAGGCTGCAAGACTAGTCACTTAATAGCATAACAGGCCTTAAATATATTAGCAATTGAGTAAAAGAGGAAACCGGTTGAGTATTCACTTAAGATTGCCCATCCTGATACTTTTCCAAGAGCCTTTGCAATGAAATCAAGGAAAGAATTAAGATCAACTCACTGGAATTTGAATTAGCTTCTTGAAGTCTTCCATTTTGCTGTTGCTGCTGTTGAAGACTTTAACACGCAGCTCTTCCTTGATAATATTCAGGCTATTTTGAATGGTATTGTTATCTTCAATGTTTTCAAAGAGTTTGAAGTAGAAGGAGACAATCTGGCTCTGAATTATTTTTATGTCACTCTCCTTGGGAGAAAGAGCACAAAGAGAGATTGATATGAATTTATCCACTGGAAAATAAGCAACACGAAAATCAATCAAATGGAAATATTCAGCTTACCCCTTTCCAATTCGTTAAAATGTCTAAGAAAAGAAGTCCACCATTCCCTACATCTGAACTGGTTGCATTCTGGAAAAACAAGGGGGGGACAATTGGTTTACAATTACTTCATAAATTGCCCTAAAATGCTGACAATACTCAATGATTTTCTTTTCAATCCTTGGCTTATTTCTAACAAGTATCCCCAAAAGCTGTTATGTTGGATATTGCCAAAGACTATCATGCTATGTTAACTTTCATATAATCCTTAAATTGCAGTGTCACAAATAAACTCAACAAGACAGATGATACTTCAGTTTTCTCAAATAACCATAGTGGGGGTTTTTTGTTCTTTTGTTTTCAAGCCTAGTAAGGAAATCAGCAACCCACTATAAAATACTGCCCCCCTATGGTACAAATCTTTACAACATCTATTTGTGTCCTATCGGATGTTACTTCAACTTTAAAAAATAGTTCTAGGTGTGAGAGAGAGGTTTGATGTTGTGAGAATAGCATCATTTGTGAAAGCTTAAATGTAAGCACAATAGCTATAATTATAATAACTAAATTTTGTACAAATAAAATATTTAAAAGGCAAACACACTAAAGTAACCATAAGTATAATTTTAAGAGTAAGTCACATAACAAAACAAAAATATTTAAATATTTATAATTCCTAGAGAATCTCAGCAAGGAACTGAATTCAAGGGTAATTCATAAATGGAGTAGTAGATTTTTTAAATCACTTTTTGGAGAAAAACACCTATAAATGATGTTTTTAAAGCCAAAGCTTTAAGAACCTCACCTTCTTTAATTGATTAATTATTTCAGGTTATCATTTTAATGCTAATCTTGACCCTTTACTATCACCATCATGATAGTCTGAGAAATCAAAAATTAATAGCCAGTCTTTTTTTCAATATGTTATATGCTACTTGACATTACAACTGCATAGATTCTTACCACAAAATTATCAACCTGTTTTATACCCATATTATACCCATCTTTTGAAAGATTCATGAATGCTCTCTTCTATAAAAAATTTGAGTAAAGGGATAAAGCAAAACACATATCATTGAATTAAAACTCATCCAGTCAACAGTCAAAATATCACCAAGTCTTTTCAAAATGACTGTGGACTAGAAATGACAACCTATCAAAAATACATTCCAAGTCAGTGTTCAGTCATTTCAACCACAAACAAGTATTATTAAAAGGTCATACTTACAAAATATCTCTTCAGTTTTTCTGTTTCGTTGAAAATTGTGGACTGGCCATAGCAGCTAGAAAAGATCACACAAAGCTGTAAAGCTAAGATGTAACTTGTGTATTTCATCGTTCTGAAGAGAGTTGGGCCAAAGTCGTTGAAATCGGTAGCTCCGGAATTGAGCTGATCAGGTCCAAAGGACTCAGCTGATCTTTCTCTTCTACCAGCTAAGCTGTAGACGCTCAGAAGAATGTACTGCATCTCCTTTTGCTGCTGGTATTTATACCTAGTTGCAGTCTCATCGGGATTACGTATTTTCACAAGTTTTTTTTTTTAAGAAGAGATGGTGACAGATAGACGGAGATGCCAGTTTGTATTAATAACTATGGTTTTGTGGCATTTTGGTATTGTACTTAGAGTTTCCTTTCAACTCCTTGGGACTTCTGACAATGAGACAGACCCGTTATGCCCACCATCTTGTGGGATTCTCTGAAAGCACTTTTACTTCACACCATTCGGGGATTAGAAAATTTTTTGCACTCCTTTTGCCCTTGTAAAAAGTTGGCTCCAATGTGTTGACAGAGCACATTGATAATTTGTTTGTGGTTGGGAGCAAGTGAAAAGGAAATTCTAGGGGTTCTCAAACCTTTACAAAGGGGGTGCTTTTTTACATTTTTTCTTGCAAGTAGCCAAAAAGCAAGGAAAGAATGTGGTTAAAAGACCAATGTGGTGAGGAAATCCTTCATCAGAGTTAGTTAGTATAATTTTAAATTGCTCTGGACCAATAATGCCAAATAAAAATCCCATGTAAGCCAAATAGATACACTTAATTTTTTTAGTAGCCCCATTAATAAAGGTAAAAAGAAAAAGGCAAAAATAATTTTTAACTACATTGTATTTAAACCAATATATTCAAAATATTTCTCTCTTTCTCTCTTTCTCTCTCTCTCTCTCTCTCTTTCTCTCTCTCTCTCTCTCTATATATATATATTTTTTTTTTTTAAAGAAGATATATATATATATATATATATAAATGTATAACATTAACAAAATATTTAAAATTCTTTTTGTCATACTAAATCCTAGAAATATGGTACACATTATATACCTACAGCAAATCTCAATTTAGACTAGTCAGATTTCAAATGCTCAAGTCAGTATGGCTAGAGGCTACTGTGTTAAACAATATAGCTCTAGATGATCAATCCTCCCAAATAACCAGGAGAAGGTGTTTTTTTTTTACTTTTATATTTCTTTTCCTTCCAAATGCAAAAAATAGGATTCTTTCTTTTTTTTTAGTAATTTATTTATGAACTAAAACCAGTGGGGATGTCACAGAAGGCCTGTCACGCTTTGGTTCCAACCCATCTTGCATTTCAACCTGCACTGTATGCACTAACATGTCATGTTTATGGATGCAGACTTGAATCCTGGTTCCACTATTATCTAGCTATGTGATTTTGAGCATCTGTGACTCTCAAATAAGCCTAATATTAGTATCTCCTTCTACGCCTCAGTTGAAAATTAAATCATACGATACATATAAAGTGCTAAGAATTTTGCCTGGCATGTAATAAGCACTCAGCAAAAGTTATATATTATTATTTGAGTATGGTGGTATAACTAGACATTCCCATAAACATGCACTGAACTTTCACTTATCCTATTCCTTTGGTCTTGAGCTCTCATTCCCTTCATCTGTGCCCCTGAGGGTGGTGCCCATGCATTCAATCCCGGATTAAAAAGCATTATTTCCATGATTTCTCCCCAAATTATCCTTTTAAAAATTAAGTACACTAGCCTAGCACTTGGTTCATATTCTTTTTAGAATCCTGATTCCTCAATTTCATATAGTTATTCATGTATTATCTCCTTTGTTAAATTCCTTAAAATCAAAAGTTGTCTCATTGCTTTTACAACATTTTCTTTTTTCTCTTTTAAAAATAAAATAAAATATGTTGAAAGTATTACATAACTCCCCTTTTTACCCTTATTGAACCCTCTAGCCCACCTCTACCACCCACCCTGGGCCTTCAACAGTCTATTGTCTATGCCCATGGGTTATGCATATAGATATATAAGTTCTTTGTTTGATTTCTTTCCACCCACCCTCCCCTGCCTTCCCTCTGAAATTTCATAGTCTGTTCCATGCTTCTATGTCTCTGGATCTATTTTGGTCATCAATTTATTTTGTTCATTAAATTACAACACTGTTTTCTTCTCTAAAAACATTTTAGTCTAGAGATTTGTCCACAGACATCACTGAATAAACATGAATTTGAATACTTAATTTAGGATCTACTTTGAGTTATTTCCCCTCACATTCTAATCCCAATGTTATCAGACCTCACCTGTAGAAAACTAGTTTTTAATTAAGTAGAATATACGATTATTTTGGAAACATGACGCTATGTCTTTAGCAAATCCTGCTTCTTAGGACAATTCCCTGTATATTTTATTGGAAGCCACCTGAAAACTCTTCAAGGGGTTATCTGCCCAAAGAATAAACCAAGATCAAAACATATCTGCACAATCAAAGCCTCATGTTACGCCATTGGAAAGTGTGAAAAGTCCACTGTTGCCCATAAAGCTCTAGTGTACTGGACCTCAAGGCAAAACATGACCCAAGGAGTGTGCTTACAGGTAATACAGTAACAAGAAAACCTTATCAAACCCTTGAGATACACTGCAAGCATTCAATACCTTCCAGAAAACCATTGCCCAAACTCCATGTTCCTGGAAGAAATATTCTCATCTTTATGGAAAGGAGTTACAATTATTCTCTTGATTCATTCACTGGAATATGGTATTGGGGGCGAGGAGTTCAGAATAGTGAGATATGCAAGTGGGAATTACATATTGTCTGGGCCTTTGTAAATTGAAAGTGCCTATTTAAAATTACAGATACATTAGAAATATGTTTACAATATGGCCTGCTGTCTAGGATTAGCAACTACATGGCTAACATCCAAGCTCTACTAACACTGATGGCATAAACACAGAATTATGTGAAGCATAACACAGAATTATGAAATTATAGAGATGATCTATGGCCTCAGTTGTTAGATTTGTAAATCAAGACCCAGAAAAAGAGTGCTATGTTAAAATTCATTCAACTGGAAAATGCAGAGCTGAGTGTGGAACCAAGACCTTTTCCCTAATCCACCTGTCCCCCAATCAATCAATATCCATTAAGGTTATTGTATGTGCCTAAAACTGTGTTAGATGTAAATTCAAATCATTATATCCTACCAGACTTTGGTTTCTGAATTTTTTTTTTTCTGTAGAATTTGTGAGATAAAAGTTATTCTTTAATTCCTTAAAAAAAATAGTAAGACTGCAAATAAGAGGTTTAAAATTAGAAATCCCAGCAGGCCCAAATTCATGGACCTAAAACCTGCACCATCTATCAGGACCACACTTAGTTACAACAGCCCACATTTGGTTTAGTGCACTGCTGTTACCTTCCTAAAAGTCCTAACAGGTTTTTAACAAGGGGCCCCCATTTTCATTTTGCACTGGTTCCTGCAAATTATATAACTGGTCTTGCATCCTAGGCTAGAAGTGAATCTTAATATATTAGATTTGCATCTTTTAACACACGATTCTTTGGTTCAGCATATTGTTACTACAGTAGTACTACTTTTATGATCTTTTCCTGTCTTATGAACTTTACCAAAGATATTTCTCTCTCTTTTCTGACTGTAAAACACCTTAGGTTGCACATGCAAACTAGAGGTTTCACACTTTGTTGGTTCAGCCAACACTGAGGCTGCAGAATAATTCATCACCAAGGTATTCTTTCAAAGTTTTGCAAACCCACCAAGAGCCCAAGTGTGACCATATCCGTAAAACAAAGGGACTGAAAACTTTCTTTTTTCTTTTCAGCTAGACTTTCTTTCTGAAAACTGGCTATGGTTATACATTCAGCGTCAGCAAGATTTCTCAGTCGTATCTCATGCTATCCTTAAGCGAGTAGGTAGTCGTTAGGCAAAACTTACACCTTGGTTGCCCTTTTTCCTCTGTGATCAGCAGTCATATCCCTAGCACTCACAACCAAATTATCTCATCCAGACTTTGGTGTCGATTTCTTCCACAGAGTATATGAGTCAATGTTGGATCCATGCCCCCACGCTATTCTGACTTCCGCAACTCCTGACATCATTAAAGCTGAGCCTACGGAGGAAGAATGACATACAAAATGGAAGTCCACGGGGAGTCAGGTTTTCCCCGCAATTTGACTCATAAAATCCCATATGTTAAAGGATGATTTTCTGAATCCCCCTTTTTCTTTCATGCCATCTGGGCAACTCTGAGAGGTGATTTAAAGAATATAGAGAACATTATGCTTGTGTATTACGGTCATCAAATTACAATATTTTCCATTTTATATCAGATGGAATTTTGTATTGACAGTCTAGAGATTCACCCTCTTAAGGTGATATTTTTATTCCACTGGGAATTTTAAAGCCCCTGATAAGTGCCAACTACTGGGATTATCTTGGGCTTACCAAAGACAGATGGGACAGTTCTGTTGTGAAAATATTTATATTTAAATTTCAACCAATTAAAAAGTCCTTATTGAGCACTTACTACATGTCTACAGATTTAGGGGTTACGAAGAAGCTAATGAGAAAATTGGCAGAAGCATATATCATCACGTTAGTAGCTAGGGTTGATTCTTCTGTCCTGGTTACTGGGAAGGTATCCATAGTATTCATATTCTCCTTATCTTCTCCATGTACACCCTTCCTAGGGGATTCATATGGTTGAAAAGGACTGATTATTGGACAGAGAAAAACTTACATATCTGACATATGTATCACATTTTCTCCTGAGCCATGGCATATGTCACCAGTCAGCCATGATATTCTTTCCTCCTCAGTTTACATGTAGTCTCTGAGTCCTTTTCAACACTGAAATCTAGACAGATATTACCAATTTATTGTTTCCTTATTATCTTCCCTTTTGTAGCTAATGTTTCCTTGTTGCTGTGCCTCTTACTTAGATCTGCTAAATGTATATTTTCAAATTACAAAGAAATGAAAGATATGATGTTTTCCTCCAAAAACATCCGAACAAAAGAAAAAAACACATTACAATCCAAATAAATAATATAAGGTAAGACC